ATCTGATATAATTAGGGTTAGGGAGTAGGCGTAGGCGACTCCCTAGACTCGTTAGTGGAGTAGGCGAGGTACGGTCCGGCATATTAGATAGTACCAGGGTACGTTCTGGCAGTACCCTGGGGGACATAGACCGTCTCAGCGTTAGTGAAAAGGAGATATGACAGATCATGTAGGATAAGAGCAAGAGTAGATAATAACACAATGTGTTATTATCTACTCTTGATAAGAGTTAGAGTGAGAGCGAGAAAGCGAAAAGAGACGAGGCGGAGGGGAAAGAAACACAGGGGCGAGAGAAAGGGGCGGATGGAAGGGAAAGAGAAAGAGAGCACGAGAGAGAATGAGAGACAGAGAGAGAGAGAGAGAGAGAGAGAGAGAGAGAAAGGGAGTACAAAAATAATTTCACACGCACGAACGTACTTCTTTGCTTCACTAAACAGTAGAGAGAGATCATACATGCGAAATCGAAATAACGTTTTTCTTTATTAGCTGTATTGCACAGCTGATGTTACTCCTCGGTCGCCTGTTTCCCCTGCCACCCTCAACCTGCAGAGAGAAGCAGCAGCACAACACTGCTATATATTTCTCGAGGCTACCACCACATGCCTCAGCTTCTCTTCTCCCATCCCACCCATCCAACGAGCTATATATAGCATACAATGTTATACACAGCGCCCTGATCCCATCTAAGCGTAGATGTTGACGTCATTGCAATAGTGAAGATGGGGGCAGCTCGGCTACTCCTAGCGAGGACTATGAAGTTATATTAGTTCACACGACAGTGAGTAACAGGGGACCAACATGTGTCATCGCCACTGAGCAGTGTTCCCGCATGCCTAGGTAATGTGCTCTATTGTACCGAATACACGCGCACACGCACACGCACACGCACACGCACACACACACACAGAGACCATCGTGTGACTTAGGGATAGTAGAATTGGTTACATAACCTCGTATGGAGAGCTGGGAGCGTGGATACACGTGTGCCCCTCGTATAGTATTATCCTACTATTATTAAACATGTGAGGATATGGAAAAGCATAGTGATGACTGGGCCATATGCAGTTTACTAAATGGCTGTTTGTTTTAGAAGAACTACGATATCATATCTAACTAGTGAGCGTACTGGAGCGTCTCAGCTCTGGGATGGAGACCATGTGGGGATCTCACGTACCTGCAGAGATCCTTTGGAAGATACTTAAGCACGTCACGGACGCTGAAGGACCCGTTCCATTCCTACCCAGGTACTTTGACACGAAGGGTCGTTGTCGTATCAGGTACCATATATGTACCCGAGGTAGTTTTAGGTTGTTTAGTATTATGTTTATATTTTTATATGAGGTATGTTTAGGGTTAGGGTTAGGGGTAGGGTACACTTCTGTAGTACAAGTCTGGTACACTTTGTGTATACATATATGTACCTCGGGTACATATATGTAGTACCTGCATGATACGACAACGACCCTTCGTGCGGTAATTTGCTGAATCGCTTAATTACCACATCATCATCCTTAACTCTATAGTCGCTACGGCCTTCGCTGCACTATAGTGTAATACAATTTAATTAATGCACTGCCACTAGTAAAACAAAGGCTCTAGTAAGTTGCGTGATAGTTAATTACTCTCATTGTAAGTGATAACATTAATAAAACTATAATACTTTAATAGAGTGGTTGTGATCGTTTAATGGGGGACCGTGATCGAGTAATTTTTTCGTTTCACTATTTTTAAGAGCGTCGACGGTTTCTCGGCTCTGGCACCAGGTGGCGTCGGACGAATATCTTTGGCGGACGTGCACAGCCGTCGAATTGTCGCACAAGTCGATTAGAAAAGAGCCTGATGTACTGAGCTGGCTCTTCTCACATCGGCTGAACCTACGGCACATCACACAAATCAACCTATCTGGCTGGAATTGCGAAGGCGGACTCAATTTACAGGTTCTCGCTCTTTTTCTCGTGATTCTTCGCCGAACAGACATACAAATTAAGCCAACGGAGATCACGAGCACCATACATAGCATAATTTACAGGACGAAATTAAAGTATAAAAAACGTCTATACCACAGAAAATGCCGGAAACAATCAGACACATAATAAATACATCAATCCAAAAAATACATAATTGACACAGCTGCAGCACCCATGCATAAAATTAGCTCGCAATGTAACATAATGTCTAACGTGATGTCATATAAGATGCTTTATGTCACAGAACTATCTTTCAGGCCATCCTGGAAGAATGCGAAGGTCTGGTCAGCATAAATCTGTCACACTGTAGAGTCAGCACCTCCACACTGGAACAGCTTCTATTCACAGCCAACACTGCGAGCACACTCAAAGAAATCCATTTCTCACAGATGGTATCAGAGGTCAGTGTACTCTATAACAGTGCTTCTTAAACTATTTCAGTGTCATTCACCCTCGAGTCTTTATCACAGAATTTCATTCACCCGAGACTAAACTTCCTTATGTTTTTGGTTTAAGCAGAGATGCCAACACATATTTGAAGCAATCTGTAGTTTCTGGCCATCAAATTAGTAGTTCGAGGGTCACGTAGTGACCCGAGTTAGCTAGGGGGGTCCAGCATGCCCCCCGGAAAAAATTTTTATTCTGAGATGCAATTTCCTGCATTCTGAGGGTTAATAATGACAATAAATTGACAAAAAATAACAAAAAAAATTGTTTTTTTGATCACAGTGAAATTCGTAGTTTGATACAAACTGGTCGTAGTGGTGCAAAAGGAATAGAAATTCGTATAAAATACGGATAAATCGTAGTGGTTGGCATCTCTGTCTAAGGCTCCTTAAGTTTCATTCACCCCAAAATAATTTCATTCACCCTTAGGTGAACCATTCACCACTGCTCCATAACAGCTATAGCCATGTCCAGATAACTGTGTTAAAAAGTTCTAGAACATACAGCCGATGTATACGACAGACCCAGGCGAGCCATCAAAGCGACCTCTCTACCCCCGTCCCAGAATCAATACTAGAAAACGAATTAAAAGACTTGATGCAGTTATTCAATCAGCTTACAGCACTTCGATACCCAGATCCCCTTCCCGCCCCATTAGTACATTCCCAATATGCTAGTGGCTTATATATTATAGTGTACCAAAAGTGTTTCCCTCGTTGTAAGCAGTGTTAATAAATACTCATACGTTCTTCCCCACAGTCTGACAACACGTTCATGAACTTGCTGAAGAAGCTGTTCAAGACGAGAGGAAAGCAATTCACACATCTTAGCATTACCGGCTCCTCTGTGTTTCTCAGCAACATGATGTTCAGCATAATAGTGAGGCTGAGAGGGTCTATGTCCCCCAGGGTACAGCCGGAACGTACCCTGGTACTATCTAATATGCCGGAACCGTACCTCGCCTACTCCACTAACGAGTCTAGGAGTCGCCTACGCCTACTCCCTAACCCTAACCATATCAGATAGTTACCAGGGTACGTTCCGATATATCGAACCGTACCCAGGGTACCCTCCGATAGTACTCTGGGGACATAGACCCTCTCGGCAATAGTGAGTACTCCATGTCATTCGACATGCCACGACAACACTGTGCATTTCTGGCCTGCGTCAAATTGGGCCCATATTTATTATGTGGTCAGGAGTGAATAATAATAGATATTGTTAGATTATTATAAATATCCATATATTAGATAGATATCTACAGAGTGAATAATAATATCTTTTATTAAATATCTTAAAAAAATCTTATATTAATAGATCTATTATTATTCACTCCTGACGAGGTTATAGGTAGAATCAACATTTAATAATACATTATTAGCTCTTAGTAGAATCAGAGATGTATACAACACGTGTTTGTATATATATCTATGCTAGAAGTCAAGTAATTTTACAATGCCTCAGGTACCGACCACTGATACAAACAGCATTCGCCTCAAAGCTGCAACCAGTCTTGGCAGAAAAAGTATGGCTGTCACATACACCTTGATAGGCTATGAATTACGCAGTCATTTTTTCCGTGCCTTTAACTGCGTTTCAGGCATACTGTTCCAATCTACAGCGTGCTCGACATTTCCTATCCACGCTCGACCCCTACTCATCACACAGTTGTGCAGTGATGTTCAACATCCGACAGGTTCGCAAGACAACTGTCCGCAGCTGAGAGTGTTCCGAGCCACAAGACATGTTCCTGGAACTTCAGCAGACTGATTCAGGTACGTGCCCACCGCGCAACATTATCACGTTGCGACCTAGCATGCACACATCATACACGTGCGATGCCGCTACTAACTATTTATGGGCCCAACTGGAGCGCGTACTAATGGTTAATTTACTGCTGAACAGTAATGCTGGATTTTCAGTTCTGTTAGTTCACAAATATACTGACGTTGTTGTTAGATCAGTGTGTATAGTGTCAGGGATATTACCGGAATTCGGAATCGAGTTAATCGTTGATTCGCGAAATCCCCACGCCCTATTGTTTTCAAGCCTGTTGTTGTTTGCTTGCAGTCAAATGGACAGGTTTTCCAGAATTACAGGAGTTTGCATTCCTGGGTACAGACGAACCACCGGCCATGGAGAGCTACTGCTACGGTAATACACTTGGCATGCACCACAGCCGATAGCAGATGTATGTGTCCACCTTAATGAGATTCATACTAACCCACAGAGTACATTGCTCCACAATTCACAAGTTTCTACATTTCAATATTCTTTTCGTTGTCTGCATCACTTGTTCGAAAGGGTCCTGCATATGGTTTGGCCTTTCGGAATTTATAAATGCTGCAGTGGTACAGGAAACAGCATTCATAAAAGGCTTGAGACAAGAGACAAATCTCTACCCATGCAATTGTAGAGGTGCTAAGTGGCAAGAATCTATACTCTATATTCGTGCTGTTGTTTTCTCCGTGCAGATTTTGCGGGGCTCTGTCAAAGCTGAAACTGCTAGATGTCAAAGAATGCCTATTCAACATGGAATCCCTGCAACTATTACGAGTGTCTAAACTTGTCGCGATGCGACTTGAAGGATACGATGCTAAAGCAGATTATGACTGCGGTGAGTTGTGCATGCGTTCCCAGCTGCTACTTCAATTGTTTCACAACAGATAATGTTCAGTTACATTAAAAAATAACGATGACATCTTAAAAATAAATGCCGTATCCAATAACTGCCTAGATGACGGTACAGATTGCAATACGTTTTCTTAAGTGATGGCTGTATGCAGTGGGTAAGCAGTTTGCTTGAACTGGACATATCATGGAACAAGTTCAGTGAGGTGGTGCTCGAGAGCTGCCTCCAGACACTGGCCTGTGAAGGGAGCCAACTGCGAACACTAAATTTAACAGGAACCAACGCGAACCCGTGTGGCGTAAGGTGAGCGATGGAGCAACATCGCAGTTACATGATCTCTGTAATCCACGTTATTTCGTAACAGCTGCAGTAGATATTGGATTAGTCAAAGTATGATAGCGGTACCTAATTATCAGTTGTAAATATGCCTATAGCACGAACTGCAGCTGTATATATCTGTGTATAACACATCCAGCAGCGTGAAATGTATTTGCCCTCTGGCACCTATTCCATATTTAAATTGACGTCATTATTATCATGTCTATACCGTCACGTGTGTGACGTGGAATGAAAGAGTTATGATGAATGTTAAACTCCTTCTTTGTGCTCAATTAAATTGCTAAAATCTCAATAGTAGGTGTTGTCTACACACTCACTTCTTCATACTCTCACATACAGGGCTGTGCTGGAAAAATGCAGAAAGCTGAAGTCACTTGGCCTCTCAACTGTCCCTCTTTGACAAGTGATATCAAGCGACACTTTCAAGGAAAGTAGAATGGAGGACCTAAGACGGCTTGCTAGATACAGAAGCACACTGTTCTCACTAAAGATGATTAAAATGGTGTGGTCAGTGCTTGCAGCACTTATATTTGAATGATAATAATTGTCATGTGAGAAAATGATTGATGTCGTTCTGCTAGTGCAATATGAGACTATATTACACTGGTATATAAGTCTTGCAACAGGGCAATTGCTTTGAATTAACAAATCATGGTTGGCGTGATCATTTGAATGTAAATGTGATAATTCTATTAAAGTCAAAAGCAGGGAAAGTAGTATTCAGTTTAGTATAACAAGGTGTTATTTTGCTATGTACATAAAAATATTATTAATAATATAACACGTTTTTTAGGACAACATAAAATGAGTTTCCATTCCTTTGGCATTTCTTGCTCGTACTAAATGTTGCACTACACAGCAAGGGGTGCATCGATAACTCCCTGTTCATTCTCACCACTGTCACTATCTTTGGCACTGGTCTCTTCAACGGAATCTTTTTCCATGCTGTCGCTATACTTCAGTGATATGTCCATTGTCAGCTGTAAGATAATGAAATACCATACTGTGGCATCACATGATAAAGCTACTAACTCGAGTGCTAAAAATACACCGCCAATAGAGCATACTGTTCAAGGCACCTGCTCATATATTTCACAGCATAATAGGATATAAAGCATCAAAGTTGCATTGCACAATACTAATATTACTATACAAAAAAAATTAGTAGGCTGTCAAGCTCATGTATGGTAACAGTAGTCCTTTATAATATGGTGAAACAAACCAGCATGAAATGCAGCATTAAATGTCCACACTCACCTTCGGAGTGAAGGCATACTTGTAGAGTAGAAAATGTTTGAAATAAGTATGGACAACGTGCTCAGCCATTGACTGCACTTGCTGCGCTGTGAACAGTGCTATACTCCATGGCGGTCTCTGTCATGTCAAGATAAACATTATATAACACCAACCTGCTGCTTATATGGACTCAGGAGAACTGTCGGTACATAACTCCAAGGCTAGATCATGAAATTTTGTTCCCTGATATTGATAACACTTAGTCACTAGGTTGTTTGCTCTTGATCAAATATAATTAACATTAAGAACCATCCTTCATGCTTTCCCGTTTTAAGCTTATAAGCACGATATCTAAACTCTCCAATCATTTCTAAACACGATTGAGAATATACCTCTAACGAGCATGCTGTGTGCAGTAAAAAAGATCGGAATAACTGTTAAGGCTGCTTATTGGCACTTGTCGCGTGTAGTAGATCGGAGGCAAACTATACTGGTTAACTAACCTGTACGGAATGGCAGAGCATCAGCTCCCGGAAATATTGGAAGCACTCCTCGATATTATCAAATGGCGTCGAAGTGCACATCTCATGTAGTCTCTTCACGACGGTAAAGAAGGCTGCGGTCTGTACATCAGAGAAGCCATGGTCCATCGCATACCTAGATAGGGAATTCTAGATACAAGATTGACGCTGAAAGGGTCGTTGTCGTATCAGCCTATCAGGTACTACATATATGTACCCTACCCTAATCGTAACCCTAACCGTAGCCCTGATATAACCCTACCCTAACCCTAACCCTAACCCTAACCCGAGGTACATATATGTAGTACCTGATACGACAACGACCCTTCTTGCAAGATTGACGGGGTTACACTCATCGCAAATTGGGCAACGATAGTTTACAGCGTACGTTGGTTATTAATGAACTGAATTAAAATGTTACTGATGTCATTAATCTGGTTAGGGCATGGGCGAAAATCTCGTCTGCTGATCTGCAAAGTATTGCTGTAAAAATTGCCTTGTTAGAGCCAAGTCAAAAAGAGGTGAAGTCAATATACACAGAGCATTTTACACCACAGCATTGTGCGCTACAGGAATGCAGTTGACTATTGCCATGAATTAGTATTACGGTCTTGAGCAAAACGTTCGTCACTAAAAGGGTGCTAAACGATGTTACACAAGGTAGTAAGTGAACTGTATGCCTAATAACGAGAAAAGATGAAATAACGAAGCAAACACCAATCAGGACAGATTTATCTGCATACGCATTTCTTTTAAATCTACTAGTATTAATTATATTTCAGGATCACCCACCTGATTGTGTTTAAAAACAGATCCAATACGGTATCAGCTTGCAGCTTTGTAGCATGTTCATGAAGTTTATACATATCAGCAAGTGTGCTGCAGATGTATAAAAAAAACAGCACACACGTTACATAGGCACAGCATTCACAAATACCACAAACGCATTCAATCAGTCATGTCATCAATCATATATCATCAATACCTCAAGATCCCGATGTAGAGCTGATTATATTTCTTTATTAAAAGTTATAAATACCTTTTAACGTTAGAAACAGAGGTTTGTCTCAGCTGAGAAACTTGCCGAGTTGTGATATCTGCATCAGTCCACACAAAGACATTTCTACCTAGACAGCCTTTCACAGTTCCAGTAGCAGCCTCCTATTTTAACAAATAGCTACATTATATGCTATAGAATAGACCCTTCTACTACCGCTGAAGGGGTCGTTGTCGTATCAGGTACTACAGATATGTACCAGTACCCAGGGTACCCTCCGATAGTACCCTGGGGGACATAGACCCTCTCAGCAATAGTGAGTACTCCCATGTCATTCGACATGCCACGACAACACTGTTGCACATTTCTGTGCCTGCTTCAAATTGGGCCCATATTTATTACGTGGTCAGGAGTGAATAATAATAGATTATTGTTAGATTATTATAGATATCCATATATTAGATAGATATCTACAGGAGTGAATAATAATATCTTTTGTTAATATATCTTAAAAAAATCTTATATTAATAGATCTATTATTATTCACTCCTGATGAGGTTATAGGTAGAATCAACATTTGATAATATATTATTAGCTCTAATTAGTAAAATCAGAGATGTATACAAACATGTGTTTGTATATATCTATGCTAGAAGTCAAGTAATTTTACATGCCTCAGGTACCGACCACTGATACAAACAGCATTCGCTCAAAGCTGCAACCAATCTTGGCAGAAAAAGTATTGGCTGTCACATAATCTTGATAGGCTATGAATTACTGCAGTTATTTTTTCCGTGCCTTTAACTGCGTTTCAGGCATACTGTTCCAATCTACAGCTGCTCGACATTTCCTATCCACGCTCGACCCCCTACTCATCACACAGTTGTGCAGTGATGTTCAACATCGACAGGTTCCAAGACAACTGTCCGCAGCTGAAAGTGTTCCGAGCCACAGACATGTTCCTGGAACCTTCCAGCAGACTGATTCAGGTACGTGCCACCGCGCAACATTATCACGCTTGCGACCTAGCATGCACACATCATACACGTGCGATGCCGCTACCAACTATTTATGGCCCAACTAGAGCGCGTACTAATGGTTAATTTTACTGCTGAACAGTAATTGCTGGATTTTCAGTTCTGTTAGTTCACAATATACTGACGTTGTTGTTAGATCAGTGTGTATAGTGTCAGGGATATTACCGGAATTCGGAATCGAGTTGATCGTTGATTCGGAAATCCCCACGCCCTATGTTGTTGCAAGCCTGTTGTTGTTTGCTTGCAGTCAAATTGGACAGGTTTTCCAGAATTACAGGAGTTTTGCATTCCTGGGTACAGACGAACCACCGGCCATGGAGAGCTACTGCTACGGTAAATACATTGGCATGCACCCACAGCCGATAGCAGATGTACATGTCCATCTTAATGAGATTCATACTAACCCACAGAGTACATTGCTCCACAATTCACCAAGTTTCTACATTAATTTTCATATTCTTTTTCGTTGTCTGCATCACTTGTTCTAAAGGGTCCTGCATATGGTTTGGCTTTTCGAAATTTATAAATGCTGCAGTGGTACAGGTAAACAGCATTCAGAAAAGGCTTGAGACAAGAGACAAATCTCTACCCATGCAATTGTAGAGTTGCTAAGTGGCAAGCAATCTATACCTCTATATTCGTGCTGTTGTTTTTCTCCGTGCAGATTTTTGCGGGGCTCGTCAAAGCTGAAACTGCTAGATGTCAGAGAATGCCTATTCAACATGGAATCCCTGCAACTATTAAGAGGCTGTGCTATTCAGTGTCTAAACTTGTCGCGATGCGACTTGAAGGATACGACGCTAAAGCAGATTATGACTGCGGTGAGTTGTGCATGCGTTCCAAGCTGCTACTTCAATTGTTTCACAACAGATAATGTTCAGTTACATTAAAAAAATAACGATGACATCTTAAAATAAATGCCGTATCCAATAACTGCCTAGATGACGGTACAGATTGCAATACGTTTTCTTAAGTGATGGCTGTATGCAGTGGGTAAGCAGTTTGCTTGAACTGGACATATCATGGAACAAGTTCAGTGAGGTGGTGCTCGAGAGCTGCCTCCAGACACTGGCCTGTGAAGGGAGCCAACTGCGAACACTAAATTTAGCAGGAACCAACGCGAACCCGTGTGGCGTAAGGTGAGCGATGGAGCAACATCGCAGTTACATGATCTCTGTAATCCACGTTATTTCGTAACAGCTGCAGTAGATATTGGATTAGTCAAAGTATGATAGCGGTACCTAATTATCAGTTGTAAATATGCCTATAGCACGAACTGCAGCTGTAGTATATCTGTGTATAACACATCCAGCAGCGTGAAATGTATTTGCCCTCTGGCACCTATTCCATATTTAAATTGACGTCATTATTATCATGTCTATACCATCCACGTGGTGACGTGGAATGAAAGATCGTTATGATGAATGTTAAACTCTTTCTTTGTGCTCAATTAAATTGCTAAAATTCTCAATAGTAGGTGTTGTCTACACACTCACTTCTTCATACTCTCACATACAGGGCTGTGCTGGAAAAATGCAGAAAGCTGAAGTCACTTGGCCTTCTCAACTGTCCCTCTTTGACAAGTGATATCAAGCGACACTTTCAAGGAAAAGTAGAATTGGAGGACCTAAGACGCTTGCTAGATACAGAAGCACACTGTTCTCACTAAAGATGATTAAATGGTGGTCATTGCTTGCAGCACTTATATTTGAATGATAATAATTGTCACGTGAGAAAATGATTGATGTCGTTCTGCTAGTGCAATATGAGACTATATTACACTGGTATATAAGTCTTGCAACAGGGCAATTGCTTTGAAATTAACAAATCATGTTGGCGTGATCATTATGAATGTAAATGTGATAATTCTGATTAAGTCAAAAGTAGGAAAGTAGTATTCAGTTTAGTTCATAAAAGGTGTTATTTTGCTATGTACATAAAAATATTATTAATAATATAACACGTTTTTTTAGGACAGCATAAAATGAGTTTCTATTCCTTTGGCATTTCTTGCTCGTACTAAATGTTGCACTACACAGCAAGGGGTGCATCGATAACTCCCTGTTCATTCTCACCACTGTCACTATCTTTGGCACTGGTCTCTTCAACGGAATCTTTTTCCATGCTGTCGCTATACTTCAGTGATATGTCCATTGTCAGCTGTAAGATAATGAAATACCATACTGTGGCATCACATGATAAAGCTACTAACTCGAGTGCTAAAAATACACCGCCAATAGAGCCTATACTGTTCAAGGCACCTGCTCATATATTTCACAGCATAATAGGATATAAAGCATCAAAGTTGCATTGCACAATACTTTACAAAAAAAATTAGTAGGCTGTCAAGCTCATGTATGGTAACAGTAGTCCTTTATAATATGGTGAAACAAACCAGCATAAAAGGCAGCATTAAATGTCCACACTCACCTTCGGAGTGAAGGCATACTTGTAGAGTAGAAAATGTTTGAAATAAGTATGGACAACGTGCTCAGCCATTGACTGCACTTGCTGCGCTGTGAACAGTGCTATACTCCATGGCGGTCTCTGTCATGTCAAGATAAACATTATATAACACCAACCTGCTGCTTATATGGAATCTGGAGAACTGTCGGTACATAACACCAAGGCTAGATCATGAAATTTTGTTCCCTGATATTGATAACACTTAGTCACTAGGTTGTTTGCTCTTGATCAAATATAATTAACATTAAGAACCATCCTTCATGCTTTCCCGTTTTAAGCTTATAAGCACGATATCTAAACTCTCCAATCATTTCTAAACACGATTGAGAATATACCTCTAACGAGCATGCTGTGTGCAGTAAAAAAGATCGGAATAACTGTTAAGGCTGCTTATTGGCACTTGTCGCGTGTAGTAGATCGGAGGCAAACTATACTGGTTAACTAACCTGTACGGAATGGCAGAGCATCAGCTCCCGGAAATATTGGAAGCACTCCTCGATATTATCAAATGGCGTCGAAGTGCACATCTCATGTAGTCTCTTCACGACGGTAAAGAAGGCTGCGGTCTGTACATCAGAGAAGCCATGGTCCATCGCATACCTAGATAGGGAATTCTAGATACAAGATTGACGCTGAAAGGGTCGTTGTCGTATCAGCCTATCAGGTACTACATATATGTACCCTACCCTAATCGTAACCCTAACCGTAGCCCTGATATAACCCTACCCTAACCCTTAACCCTAACCCGAGGTACATATATGTAGTACCTGATACGACAA